AAAGATCTATCTAATTTCTCGTCTTCATATAAGAGTTCGTCACTTGTGATGTGCATGTATAACTTTCTAATAGCCAGAAAAAATCGACTATGATTACACGTAATCCCAAAGTCACTGAGTGAGTCTCCATGTATATCGCATATCTGTATTTAATATCATGTCCAAGCCATGAGAATTCTTAGAGATACTAAAACAGTAATTCAACAGTTATATGCTGTAGTTTATTGGGAGCATCGAATGTTTCGAAGTTGAAATAAAATGAATTCATACTTCAAGAGCAGGCAGTGAGCATAAACATGCGAGTTTACCATAAATCGAATGTGATGGACCGTTTTGCTCTAAGTTTTTGGAATTAATCTTTAATTATGGAAAAGTAGAACAAATGTCTTTTTCAACCTACCTTTTCTTGTCATATAATCACTATTGATACGTTTCCATTTGAAAGGGATTTTCGAGCATCTTCACAGAATTGTTGATTGAATTGGGCCTAATTCGAACTTTAGTTCTTAAAACTTTGCTGAATAAAGTTTAAACCTATAAATAACAAGCGATTCGGGAATATAATTTAGCTTAACTACCACTCATAAAAAGGTAAAATTTGTCTACGGCATTGATAAGAAGCCATTAATAATGAAATACTTCTGGCACTGCTATTGGAAGCCCAACACCATACACAGATCTTAAGAGTGACATTTAATTTAACTGTTCATTATTTAAAAAACAGCTTCTAGTTTTTTTAAATACCTTAGGTATGATCTACATTTTTATTTCGCTACCAAGCAATTATGTCAGGTGGTGTCGGGTTTATTCTTTATTATCGACCTCTTTTATTCATAAACCATGAACGGACGTGAGTTAGATCATCATTTAAAACATGGAAACACTGGACGGTCGTTTCATCTTAGTATGGGACTCCTCAAGAGCGCACACCCACTATTCCGCTCGTGCGATTAAGCTCTAAATCACTTAACCGTAATACGTCGCTGTTAATGTTTGACCACAATCAATCCACATCGTTGCGCGACCATTTTTCATTATCTTGGGTGGGTAACTGTCTCACACCCGACACCGATCACCTCCACTGGTTACAGTTTTTCACTAAAACTCTGGAAATTTTCTCTCGAAGCTAGTTAGGTCGAAACGGTCATTCAATGCTCCTACGTTTTCAATGGTGGTCTACTTAGATAGGTTCATGATTTCAATGAAATCTCCACAACCCCATACTGAAGATAATAATTTACTGATATATCTAAGTTATAAGCAAATAGATGGTGGTTAGCAGTGGAATCCAGGACGCGCGTTTCATCCCGTTCGGGACTCATCAGCTGGATACACATGCATCCCAGAGTTGATGTTAACACTGAGACTGCACATATGTCAATAAGAGACTGATCAATCGCAGACCTAAACATCAATGGCGAGAGCCAAAAGCCAATACAAAAATGAATTATATCCAAGTTATACTACTCATAGTTTTTAAGTAATTTGAGTTTTGGTTGACATGACTTGAAAATAATTGTTTCACTCAACACACCCGAGCAAAACGGTTTTGGAGATTTGATGAACGTATCTTCAAGTCATCCTGTTTTTAAGCTTGGCAATTGGTAATACGTTAAGGTGAGAGCCACTTGTTGATAAATATTCTTACTGAGTCTTAAATCAATAGTAAGAATGAATCCTTCGCTCACTATCTTCATTCCTTCAGTATCTTGTCTGCTGAAGTGATGAAATATTTAATAGCTTCACTTTTGGCTATAAGTGCCGAATGACATCGAATTTTCAGAATATATATATATATCATTCTAGATATCTGTTGGAGCTGAAGTGTATTTATTATTGACTACTTACTATTTATCCATGCCCCAACTAAATAATCGATTGACTGATGATATATCAGATGTTAGCTGCAGGGTTTAATAAAGGTCAGCATTATAAGTAAAACTATAGAGTGAGTTTTAGGAATCTGTGTACTAAGGTTACCTCCAATTCTCAATAAGTGTTTCACACAATACTTTTGATCAATTTCCCATTCATTTAGTGGGTGGCTGCTGAATATTAGTGTAATTTTCACCGAAGATTTCACTTCAAGCGTCTGGATTTATCCGCAGCTTTCTCCAATGCATATGTTAATTTAGTTCAGGCCAATATACCACACAAGAAACACAAACATACAGAAAGTTAGGGCTTGAAATAAAATTTCCGACGAAAAGTAGACTTAAATACGCGGGACTCAGGTTAAATGAACGATAAAGTGACAAGAGGTGCTGGGCGTGACGGACTTGATGCAAAACTTAAATCAAAATGCTTTTTTCATTCTTTTTAACTTTGTAAGGTGATTAAAACCTTTGTCTGCACTAAGCGTGATTGAATATGGATAAAGCAACACTAATCCAACCAATATATGCATATTTTTTCCCAGGCTTGTTGATCATTCTTTTTGGGCGCATATATGTGGTTTCAGCTAATAATCAAAATTTATTTACGAGATTAATTTGGGTAATTTATCACAACTGTAAAAGACATTAAAGATAAATTTTGTGACAAACTATTGTTATTTTAAAAACCACTGAGAGACGAGTAATAATCAAAGGTTTCCTTTTCATATTTTGAATGTTTTTCGATTCGTAATTGGATTGTGACCAAGAAGGTGAAGCCTCCAAATCAACATGATTCTGTCGTGCGTAATTTTATATATAATAATTATCACTATAATAATTTATCACTAGAAAGTGCGACAGATCTTTGAACCTTTTCAATTCAAAGAATCCTCCGGAACCGCATACTATAATTGTGAACCATAATTTGGCATAGAGTTTATCGAACTCCTCCACACCATTAACATTAAATCTATGAATGTAGTTATTGATGGTTGGTTTCTTTGTTTGAGACTCATTGACTTTTACTATCGTTTGGTGTTCCAAACCAGTAATGCTGAGATGTCTGTTGGTCGATTAAAGGTTTCCTTATGATTGACACGATGTTATTGTAGTGAACGAAGACTTGGTAGGGTAAATCAATTTGTTTAATGTAAAATCACACAGTGGCTTGGTGAAATATGAAAATCATACATTAAATACACCATTTGCACATCTTTGCGTTGTCCTTTATATACTACATTATTCCTTTCAGTTGTTATTTCGACCTCCTGCTGGCAGGCATTCCTCTTCTGACTGCTGCTAAACACTACTTATATCTATCAGCCTAAGTAGCGAACACCACACTACTACTTAAATATAAGCCGCAACACAAGCCATCTAGTCTTATTCGGCACAATCCAAAGACAGGAAGGATATAGGGAGAGACGGAGATTAATTTTCACATTAAAAATAGACCCAACATTATATGTATATCGATTAATAGCAAGTTTTTGAATAAGTATGTTGGGCAGCCTATGCTCCTTCACGAAGGGTGACAAGCGTAAGTTTTTCGTACACTCAAATCCGTAGAACTCACTGTTAATTAGTCAATAGCTCACCTTGAGATGAAGTACAGACATTGTAAGTTCGAGATCCTACAACTAACATGTATAGTTCAGTAATTTCATAGACGTTTCTATTGTCTCATAATTTGTCCTTTGATTTCAACTGAGTCATACAATAGGAACTTATTGGTATATAAATAAACACGCATTTACTTCTTTTACTATATTATTTGAAGTTAATTTATAGCAAGCTATCACATAAGCGTAGACAAATTTTTGTGTATTTATCATAATTAAAATCAGCTGATAAAACTCGCATAATCACGTAATTTGCTGAAATTTTACATTATTCAATGTTAGAAATTTGACGACGAGTTTCGAGATACATTTTTAGAGAATCAAATACAGACAATATATACCTTCACGTTTCATTTGGCTATACAGTCCACTGAAGTTTTATATTGGGTAGATATGATGATGACGATTTACTGGTGCAACAGTTAAGAGATCAGAATATTTTAAAACTATATTCTACATAAAGTCGAAAGTGTAACCTGGAAAACACAATTGAAAAAATGGAGGAAATTTTCCGAATTTTATTAGTCTTTATTTTTTGATTGTAACGATCAAGAAAAACATGAACGCTTTTTTTGACTTTTTTCAACAAACAGTAAACAAATATATGCATACAAACAAAAATTTAATCTATTAAATCACAGTTTGACTGATAATAGACTGGAAAATAGATCAAAATGTTAGGAAAGTGAGGAGGGGGATGAAGGAAGAATGAAAATAAAGAGGAATGAACACGTACATGTGCGTATTATCAGTATAACAATACGAATAAAGCAAAAAAGGAAATGAGTGAATAGACGAAACGAAAAGACACGTACGACACAAGACTGCAATCATAACAAACGATTCACAGATATTTATGTAGTGAAGCATACAGACAACGTTTACACGATGTGAATAAACTTTGAAAATTTCACAAAATAGTTCGCTTGAAAAAAAAAGGAAATGATTAGTTATTATATCACATTCAGTTCATAACATATTGTCAGACATGATGCACCAACAAAATATATGTTTAGATGTACGTAAGTTATAAAAAAATATTAGTATTGCAATACACCAAGTTACAAAAGTGCAGTTATTGGGTATATTTCGAATGATTCAGGCAGAGAAAAGAGTTAAACAAATACATAATTTATATACTTTGTTTTTAGAAAGAGATTAAATTCATGAAAACTGGAAAATGTGAATAAATACAAATGGAACACGATTTTTGGTGTACGAAACACATATCTTATATTGTTACAAAGATCATGGAAAGTCAACAAAACCTACTCATTATGTATAGATAAAAAAGACTAATTCCAAGTTAGTTGAGAACAGAAACAAATTTTTCATGTGATATGAAGGAAAGACCATAAGGTGAACGAAAGCAAGCAAACAATCACAACAGTAGACAATAAAATGAGACTAAAAATTGAACGTAGCCCCTAACAAACAAATATCACAAGACCAACACCAAAATGATATGATGGATCGCCATATTGTAATATATATATATAATTTAAAGAGAGGATATCATGGAAGTTTAAACAAACGAAATACACTAAGAATATAGTCAATCATGAATTCGTTCATCGCAGTTTAAAATAATAAAACTTGGAGTCACAAAGAAATAAAAGGAGCATGATAAACAACAGTAAACAAAAAAATTAGAAAAGGGATCACAGAAAAATTGGTCTTGTTCAAGACCTACTTCTGAGTACTAGTGAGAAGTCATGAAGCAAAACAACAACAAGGAGTGAAATAGTCAGCTGGTATTAAGACGTTTGTCACAATTCCCAGCTGAAGAGATGATACTTGACTAGCATGTCTCCGGTCGTCTCTGTTGCAGCTGTTGTCATGTTACTATCTATTTCACTCAAATTCTCATCATTCGGTATTAGAATTGATGATAAAGACAGACATGGTGGGTCATTCATTGGATCGACAACAGATGAAGCAGTCATTAAACGTTGTAAAGGTTTGACTTTATGCAAGTCTAATGCATTACCCATCGTAGATATTATCTTTGAGCTGGATTTATTGGTACGACGCGGCAAACTCTCCGATGATAAAGCAAATAATTTAGAAGCCGTAAAACCATTTTGTCGAATATGATTAAGATTTTGAAGATTGTTTAATTCGTATGTTGGTGATAAATGAAACGCGAATTGACTAAGAACACTATTAAGAAATCACAAAAAGGACAGTGGTACGTCAATAATCAATGGAAATAATATCGATAAAAAGTGAAAGCTACTGAATAGAATAATTGATGAAGAGCAAATAAGTACAACATTGAAATTAATGAGCGAACATGACCCTATAAATATTTCGTATAAACTAAGGAAAATATGACTTGTTTTATCACTCTATTTAAATATAATTCTATTTTCTCAGCGTTGTTTCAATCATATCTGGTTTGGCTGCCACCTAGCTGTTACATTCAATACTCAATTAACTTCAATATTTAGCAAGCTTACGTTTATACAAACAACCAAGTACAAATTTATATTTAAATTTCATCTAATGAAACAATTTATAATTATATAAAAATGAAAAATATTTTTAACTTGTACACATACCGTAATTCACATTTTATTTGAACCCAACCAGGACTGCGAAGATATGACCAAGGATGATACCATTTACTAACTACTTTAACTGATGAACAAAGAATTTCGAACCATAAATGTAAAAGTTGTTCGCTTAAAAATTGTCAAAAAAGTAATTAAGTTAAGAATGTGAATGTTAGACAGGAACATAAAACTTTGAAATCACAAGTAAAAAACTTAGCACAGCTGATAATTCAGTGGAACATATTTATACGTTCGTTATATAGGTATCATTAATTCAATCTGGCTTACTCTCACCATTTCTCTTTCTCCTCGTGATCGACTGGATCATGAAGACGTCAACATCTGAAGGGAAGCACGGGATACAGTGGACATCTGTGATGCAGTTGCATGATCTAGACTTCGCAGATGATCTGGCTCTTCTATCGCATACACAACAACAAATGCAGGAGAAGACAACCAGTGTAGCTGCAGCCTCAGCAGCAATAGGTCTCAATATACACAAAGGGAAAAGCAAGATTCTTCGATACGACACAGCATATAACAATCCAATCACAATTGACGGGGAAGCTTTGGAAGATGTAAAAACCTTTACATATTTGGGCAGTATCATCGATGAACACGGTGGATCCGATGCAGATGTGAAGGCACGGATTGGCAAAGCAAGAGCAGCATATTTACAACTGAAGAATATCTGGAACTCAAAACAATTGGCAACCAACACCAAAGTCAGAATTTTCAATACAAATGTCAAGACAGTTCTACTGTATGGGGCGGAAACCTGGAAAACTACGAAATCCATCATCCAGAAGATACAGGTGTTTATTAACAGTTGTCCACGCAAAAATAATTCAGATCCGTTGGCCGGACATTATTAGCAACAACCTACTGTGGGAGAGAACAAATCAGATCCCAGTGGAGGAAGAAACGTTGGAACTAGATAGGACACACATTGAGGAAAGCACCTAACTGCGTCACAAGACAAACCCTCGCATGGAATCCTGAAGGCCGAAGGAGGAGTGGAAGACCAAATAACACATTACGCCGAGAAATCGAGATAGATATGAGAAAAATGAACAAGAATTGGATGGGACTAGAAAAGAAGGCCCAGGACAGAGTGGGTTGGAGAATGTTGGTCGGCGGCCTATGCTCCATTAGGAGTAACAGGCGTAAGTAAGTAATTTAATCTGCTGAAATGTGAAACATCGGGTTCTGAAAGCAAAACGTTACTGAAGTTTTCATTGTCTTTAAAGCGAATAACAGCGTAAGCTTAAAAGGGAAAACTATTAAAACCTTCTTGAAGTTGGTTGGCAGTTGACGGTGACTACTATTTTTAAATGGATATACATTCATAGTGCATACATTTCGATATAACACGGTATAGAAAATTTACTAAACAAATGAAGTAATAAAATTGAGAAAAAAAGAAAGAGGCGAACTATCTATGGAGAAATAAACAAGAAAAATAATTTTAGAAAAGATCGGTTGAAATTCATCCAAGAAAGACTTCTTTTCTTTTAAAAGGAAGTTACGGCAGCATTGCCACTAGCCTCTAAGAAATTGCTAACCAGAGACAAACATTTACACTAATTAAAATCTGTACTCGAGGGATAACGGTCATCATATCTCATCATCAAAGTGAGGATTCTAAAAAACCACGAGGCAGATGACCCTCCCATAAACCACAGCAACAATATGCATAGCAATATGGAGTGTATGAGCAATGTGGCAGATCGACAGTATCATTCAAGTAGCTGTAGAAATGAGAAAATATAAGCTGATCAGATCATGCTTAAAACAAATGAAACTCATTGGACACAATCTGAAAAGAAAATACCAACTACAAGAGAGTTGTTGTCTTCTCATTATCAGGGAAAAGATGCTCCACACACAAGCAACGGCACTGATCCTCTCCACAGAACCACAAAATTCACTAATATGATGAGACATCCACGCATCCAACATCAGCAACCCAACCTCTCGGAACAAACAAGCAAAATTTACCACAAATGTTATACAATGCTACGCACTCACTATTGATGGAAGTGGTGTTAAGGGTCAGTTACATGAGAGGCTCGAGTTCATCACATAGATGTGTGGAGAAAAACATCTGATTATCCTGATGAAAGACGTAAACGTCAAAGTCGGGATGGAAAACATAGGATATGAACACTTCATGTACAGATATGGACTGGAAGAAAAAAACGAGAGTGGTGAGAGAACAATATAACTGTTCGCATTCAACAACATAGTGGTAAGCGGCAGTATTTATCCCATCAGAACATACACGAACCTACATTACGGAAAACCAGATTGATCACATATGCATGAATTAAGAATTCAAAAGGTCCGTCCAAGACGTGAAAATAGAGAGCTGATGTACATTTGAATCACCACGTGGTTGGTGGTTGCCAAACTGAAACTAAGGTTGGACAAGAAGCTCTAGAATAGTTTGACAATAAATATTGTATTTACAAAGAACTGTCAATCCAAAATATTCCAGAGACCACTAACAACAACCTATTCGGACAGAGAATAAACCAGATGGCAGTTGACAGAGTAATTAGGAGAAGCTACTGGGTTTTATTAGAAAAAACATACATCGTGGGAACCATGCAACTGCAGCACAAGACAAGCTTTAATTTGGAATCCTTATGGGAAAAGGAAAGGTTGCAGACCAAAGGATATATCTTACTGTAAGTTCGAAGCAGGCATTAAAAGCATGAATAGAACTTGACAACAAACTGAAAAGTGAACCCAGGACCGAACTGCATGGAATTTCCTAGTAGGTTGTTTGGGCCCAAAAGGGGTATCACGTTTAAGTAAGCAGTATTAAGCTGGAATCAAACGATTGACATCTATTGGATGTAGCATAAAAACTGGTACGAGAAATAGTATCCCATGATTTTTAATGATTCACAATAAAAACTATCATTTAACTAGCCAAATCAGCATAAGCGACTGTACTGAAGCTAAAACAAGGAATCAGGCAGTTATAAGAAATTGAGTGTACAACCAGTGTTTTCCTATGTCTATAAATATACAGAAATGAATGTTAAAAGCGGATTCAATACTGAAATACTGCCAAAGGGAGGATTATTAATTATTGAAGAATATTATTTTGATTTTTAGTACTTATATGTAAAAATTTTTTTCGCATCCAGTCAGTAGAAAGCAGATAAAACTATCAATTTTACATGTAAAGACAGAATCGAAAAAGCAAAAGCTAAAGAAACTACTTACTTTAAACCTGAGCAGATCAAGGAACGAAATTTGATATCCCTATGAGCATTAGCCAAATCGTGTGACATGTTTATACTATGTATTGTCTATACAAACGTGTGAGTTTTTGTGTATAGACAGTACATAGGCATTCGTAGGCGGATTGAACGCGGTGAGTAGGCGTTTTAGGGAAAGCAAAATAGAAATAGAAAAAAAAACAGGTTGAGCTAAATTTAGCGACAAACTATGTTGTTTGGTATGAAAATGAAGTTATGGTTGTATACATTGCAAATAATAAAAGCAATAAATAATAATAGTAATGGTTATAATAATAACAATAAACCCTTAAATAATTCGTGTTTCTGGAGTCAAATAACGTAAATAATTAACAATGTCACGTAATACTCTTGGAAAATATATGGATGGGGGAAGGTAGGAAAACGCCTAAGATGGGATTTTAATCAGTTATTATTCTGAAAAATAACATTAGACCATAAAATATGTTTGTAATTATTTCGTAAAAATGTCATTAGTAGCTTAAATCGAATAGACCAACATGTGATTAGTTATACAGAATGAGGAAGCAGGAAGCAAAGATAATTGCACAGTGATCCAAATAAATTCAATAAATCTTAAAAGGGAATACCAATTATATGTCTACTAGAATAATTTTGACCAATAACGTCTCCACAAGATTCGAACGATACTGACAGTTGGAATTTCCATGACATAACTGGAAACAAAACTTGCTGTAATCAGTGAAATTAAAATTAGATTAATCGTGAGCAAAACTGATAATACGGAAGCATACACTTATACTGAAATGTGAATATCCATGATTAGTTTATTTTTTGTCGATTTTGATTGTCGTTTACATTTCTAACAATAAAGCTAAACAATAGTTGAAAGACTAGAAAAAAGATTAATGTGTGCATACAAGCACGATAACTCACTCTATATAATACTTCTTCCGGACTGAGGACTTTGCCTTCTTCGTCCAATCGGAAGGTTTTGCATAATACTAAACGTGAGTAAACAGAAGAGAAATCTCTTTCTACTTCTTTAGCCGCAGCTTCTTCAATAAAATGCCATGGATGACAACCAGTATCACCGAGTAGACGTGGTCGCTTTAATCCATGTGAAAATACAGCTCCAAGTGAATGGCACAAACTAAAAGAAAAACAAGTGACTCAAGTAAGGAAAATACAACCGGGCTTTACGAATCTGTGTCGAGATTTTATCAGACGTTAGCCAAAGTTGATTGAACTTGAGTGGCCCGTTGATATAACTCCGATTTGATCGTATGATGTCAACGAAACACGCATGTCGGCTACCGTCGTATATAATTATCGACTTGATTGGCGTTAGAAAATAAATGTACAAAATAGGCCGAATACGAGAATGAATTTTCGTTATGTATATGTACTATACTCGTTACCCCAGATAGACAAGTTCTGAGGTAATATTTAGGATGAAATGAATTATTACTCAACGCGATGTATGAAATCGTGGAATGCTTAGGAGGACGTAAAGGAGGACAGAATGTTATTATAAAAATGTTATACATAACCTTTCAATTAGATAAAAATCAATTATGTTTGAGTGGTATATTCCGAGCAACTTTAGATGGGATTAGATTACGAAAAAAAAACAAGCCGAAAAACAATATGAAACGTCAGGGTTAGCCATGTGTATTGGACATGTTATGTAATTTAATTTAGTGAGCAAACAGAATTACGCTATCAGGACTCAGTAGCTAAGTGGATAACGCGATGGCGTTTGAAGCGGACGGTACTGGCTTGGAGTCCCAGAGTGAACATCAACTCTGAGATGCAGGTACATCCAGCTGACGAGTCCCAAATAGGACGAAACGCGCGTCCTGGATTCCACTGCTAGCCACTATCCACCTTTGCTAATAGAATTACGCTTAGTTTTAAAAATCTATCAAATTTTACTTTTGAAATAATAAGATGCCTTGAACGCAACAGTGATTTGATTAATGGACGATAACTACTCTGATCCAATTAATGAATGTTAATATGGAGTATAAACGGAAATGTGAAACTTGTCAAATTATTTTCTGGGTAGTAAAAGATAGTAGAAGATAAGTGGTTGGCTTTGTTAGTATTCTGACTAGTAGTTGAGAATGTTTTCGCGAACTGTCGACCGTGAGTGTATACAGGAGTAGTGAGTGGATTCACTAGATGTACTTAATAGCTGGTTAATGAGTGCGACTTTGTTCCAAAGTCGTGTATTTAACTAAGTTGTAAACTCCTTTGTTAATTGTACATTAGTATGAGTGTGAGTGAAATGATAAAGATTATTTAAGAGTTTGGAAAAAGAATAGAGGGGAATTAAGAATGGAGTAATAACAACACGTGCTATAATACGACCTATAGTAGATGGTGAACTTATTTCTAAATTTTGTTTTTTATTCTGAAGGGAGAAAAAAAGAATCACTATCCCAATAAAAACAAATGATAGCAAATAATTGATGACCTTAATTTCGTTCCAAAAAAACTCTAGAGAAGCAATAACTAATCCCACTACGTGAAAAAGTGGGCAGAACAAAATGAATATTTTCTAACCACCTTCTATTCATTTTAACTTATCTGTGTAGAGATTTATTATTCTGCAAAAAACCCAATAATCTAAATTCAATTGTGTTATTAATAACCAGATAAGATGGTAAACACGTGTACAATTCAAGAATATTTTGATTAGGACATAATTGGCAAGTCAATAGGTAAACACATAAACCTATCAGAACAAAAATGTTAAAAAGTTTAGTCATTCTAGTTAAATATAAGTACATGCATTTTATGCAGCTTGGATCATCTTTGAACTTTGATCAATGTAACTGGCAAATCTTTTAAAAGGCGTGGTTATAAAAATACAAGAATTATAATTAATATATGTAATGATTATAAAATTACCTTCCGCGAACAAGGCCAATAATTAATCTGTCTACACCATCATCACCAGCTGGAGAATAATTTTTTCCACGTTCATCTAACAATTCAACAAACTTGGCAGGAAACCAACCTCGCTGACCGTTCAGTTCACCGATCCAACAATGTTCGTCATCTGAGTTAATAATGGTTAAGATATCATTTTTATGAAATTCCAGTTCATCTACTTCAAAGCGTTCAAAATCGATCAATGCTTTGGCACGTCGTCTACGATGTTGCACAATCTATGATTTTTAAACAAATGATATGTTTAAGGAGCTATAAAAGTGTTGATAGTTGTTTTGGTTACTGTAAATGCTTTATTACATTCTGACGTCTGTACATAAGACATCCATCTTCTATTGAATGGATGGTGACAGTCAATCAAATCTCAAACGAAACGAAACATTACAATGTAGCCCGAAACCATTGACTAATGAAAACGGTCTGTAGAACAATGATTTGATAATTAGTGGCGAAATTCTGTTCTAAGTTATCTGTTGCAACAACGAAACAGAATAAAATATTTGTCTGCTTCTGATATTTCTTGAACAATTTATACTTTTCAGACTTAATATGCATAGATATAATATACAATATGGGATACAAATAATGAGTAAATGAGATACAATATTGTAAATGAAACAATTTTTAGATCAATTTTCTACAAAACATAATAAAAATGTGCTGACAAAGAATAAGGCAATAATTAATGATTTTTAAAAATTTGTTTTGTGATCTGATGACGTAGGACATAAATATAAAATACTTATTTTTATCGAGTAATTGGTAGATTATCTATAATCAATCGAAATGATGTAAACATCTGAGTGCAGAAATCATTTCTTATACTAGCGACAGTTGATTGGAGCACAAGTTTATACTATAGAAATAAAGTAAATAACTGCAAATATGTTCAAGACCCGTAGTACGAACGAAGTTACTGGATTAAAGTCGTGGAAAATCCTCAATGGACTATGGTGGTTTGGTTACGGAAGTTAACCGTTAGAATAAGAGTCCATCATGAAGTTAGGAGAGCTAGTGATGAAACGAAATACGTCATGGTAATAACTACGTAATACCCTGAAATCAATGAATTGTCGTACAGACGCATAGGTGTACTACAACACCAGTGGTTTAATACGCAACAGCGGTGTCTTTGAATGGCTATATTTGCGATATTCAAAAGCCCGAAAAGGGCTTCACATAGTGATTTTGAATCAAATATCTCTAAAATTGGGATGGTTTGGAAATACTAAGTAGAATGGGAGGGATGAATCTGAAGTATTAAGACATGCATTTCGCCCCCCTAAAATTGAGCCTGGTAAGTCTTCTAGAAGAATATACATGGCAAAATGTAAGCTAACTAGAGCCGATATCAATATTTTGTTGTACATGTACAGACGCCCGCTGAACCTTATTTCATAAGTAGTCAAAATAATCGAGTACTCTAAATGAAAAAAGATGACAACTACCAATAATTATAGCGACGTAAATGAGTATAAATATTTTCCGATTAGAAGTAGTAGTTAAATGGAAACTGAATAAACAACCGAGCAGAAAAACAGAAAGAAACTATGGAAAGGCAAAAAAGGTGATGATATACAGAATTAATGGAAGTGAAAAGCAAACGATACAGCAACAGTAAATGGACAACAAGATAGGAGTTTCCTTACATAATTGTGAAAAAAATAGGTTGTACTTTAGGCCAATGTACAGGGGTTGGATAAAAACTTAAAAACAAACCTATAATATCGAAGATATGAAAAGTTTATAAATAAGAATCTGAATAAATGATCATGACAATTCGATTTTCATATGAAGACGGACGTATATTCGTTTTCTTTACTGCTATAATTTAAATAAGAAATGCTTTTTTTTATACATGTCTAGATTCAAAAACAGTTTGAAAAAGAAAGACAAAAACGAATAACTTCACAGTTATAATTAAACGAGAAAGTGTGGCAACGAAAAAGGAACTTAAGATACGATGCAAATGTAGTCGGATAATGTCCTGAATTTCCTATTGGTTAGCAGGAAACATATGTTGGTTTCGAAACAGTGAAAGAATTAAGTGAAAAGTTCAAATGAGTAGTCTCAAACAAAATGGAAACATATGTAGTACTTAATGGTTCCTAGAATTCCTGATAACCATTAATAATAGGTTTCATCAAGTGAACAACTTATATGTGATTTATATAAACTGTCATGAGATCGCTAATTATTGAAGACCGATGAGATTCCATCTACAGCGATAGAAAAATATAAATGCAAAGAGTTAGCACTTGAGTGTTTCTCTTGCCAGATGGTTGATTAATTTTAGTTAGTAATTAACAAAAGTAGAAGTAACAAACAAAATTATAAGTAGCTAAAATTTACTTGTACATAAGAATCGAGGTCTAATTTGTGACTTTCCATTGAATAATCTGCATGTGCGGTAGCGTCACCGTGTTGTTCAGGATCACTTGTACGAAAGTGACGTACAATCTAAAATATAAAAAAACACGATTAAATTGACAGTGAGAGATGAGAGACATGATTAGGTGGTGACCATTTTTTTTATTTCGCTACCTAGTTTCATTTATTTGTAAGATAAGAAATATCTGTCATAATAAGAAGGCATCAAAAGATTGAGCAATACGAAATAGAATATGCACAGTTAATAGAAAGGAAAGTCATATGGTCACTATCTAAATAGACAAAATAGTAAATATAAAGAAAAGTTCCATTATAAATGTGAAGATGAAGAATTCCTTCATTAATGAAGGATCATCTTACTTTTATTAAGTGTGGTAGAAAACTGACTTTTGTTTTGAGCTACGGCTGATAATATACCAGGCAACGATCACTAGGAATTCAACCATGGAGTCATGATGGACCAACAGAAGCCAATTCTATGGAGCAATCTTTTATTTTATAGTCTCATGTTATAAAAGGACTCCCATTCCGCTTTTCTCGCTCATTCCAAGTGTTGTGAAATAAAGCTTGATGCAGAAAGCTACAGGAATGGTACTCATAAAACATGACTAGGTCACCGAAATCAGTATTCCACTGATTTAACTCAGCTCAGACTGACATAAAACGTTTTAACTTTCACTATACGCACATTGATCTAATCTGCTTTTCTACCATTACCACTCACACAACTAATAAGACATAACTTCTTGACTATTTTTACGTGAGTTCATGCACGGGATTTTATTAGCCTCGCAATAGTACGTTGGATTTCAAGGGTAAAAAGTATATCCCATATTCAGGGACGTTGCCACTTAATTAGATGCAATTTGGATGTCATTCAGGTACTAAAATTTGAAAAGACTTTTACCAGGTAAAAAACAAACACCCTCATGTAGTTTCTTCGGAATTGTTTCCAGAATGTCACTGACAGTTAAACAACGATTTTCGAGATAAATGTGGCAGTGCGAGGATGTGATCAACACATTCGCAACTTGAATGAAGAAATCTAGTCAGTTCTTGAAAGTAAATTATTCATGGGTTTCGCAAAACTGCAGAGTACGACGGAGGCCAAGTATTTACATAAGGTAAAGAAAAATATAACAAATTACTAGTTCTAAAAATCTTACGTGCAGTAATTTCCCGTAGAAAAATGAGGCAGTTCTGATGAACAATTAACTATGCTTTTTACATACTACTGTAACGAACGAAGACTTATGTAAGGCAAACCGATTTGTTATTATGCGAAATCACACTGCGTTTGTAAAATATGAAAACAAACTCCATCCCACTCGGATGAAACCAATGGGGAGGCTTCATCACAAAATCTGAAATTTGTTACTTTTAGCTTTACCGCGACCCAGTGAAAGAGAATGGTGCTAGGATTTCAACCGTCCTGGTTAATAAGGGTAAATTGGATAGCCAAGGTAGGAAAGGCTGACCACTATATTTGGGCACAGACACGATTTCTTAGATATGACTTTTTATGGACAATAACTTCTGTATTATGAGCTGTTTACTATTCTCATGTTTCATTTAGGTTCATACAGTTTATTTACTGATCTACGGAGTAATAATTAAATCGATTTTATGAATTCGTAAATTGGACGACATATTATCATATCCCGTTACTCTTAGGACTTGGAAATCAATTTTAAGAGGACCAAAGTTTTGTTTCTAAATAGTATATTTATAGTACGTTATTTTGACTGAGCAATCAAAAAATACCAGCTTCCCCTGTGTATTCTAGGAGTTTGTCATAATGTTTCATTGATTCAGATTATCATTTTCTTTAAATTATTCTACACTAGAGTGGTCTAGGCGGTTCGAGGAAGTCAGTAGACAATAATTTTATAATTGTGATATGGATTGAAAGTTTTAGTAAGTTAGTTGAATGTAGTCAGCACAACAATTTTGTAAGCAATAGTCAACAACCTGCACATTCATATCCAAATAAATAAATAAACTTAGTTCATAATATGTATATTAACGACATTATATAAACAATCCCATTTATATATATTAAGTGGTAATAAATAGATTTTTACTGTATTTTTAACGATGAGAGTAAACAGATAATCACACTGGCCCACTAATAAGTAAGAGATGACGGTTAGTAATGTAATACATGAATAATTAGATCACATTAGGTCTTGACATAGGCACAACGATGTAAAGTAACTACCGTTAGAAATACAAGGAACCTAACTGAGTGAATGTAACTCACCAGTCATGTATCTGTCTACACCAAACTGTAAGGCAAGTAAACTATAAGAAACGGAATCGTACTACTGGCATCTAAAAGCATTAAATCATGAACTAAAAGCAATTCACTATGACAGTGTACACAAACAGATGAAACTGATAATTAAAGATGTTACAAGCAGTATACGTACGTTAACAAAATATGATAAATAATAACAACGACATAAAGAATAATAATTGACATACCAACTGAATTGATTGTTTTAATTCCACAAGTATTTCTGTTTGATGCACATTCTTCAATTTTGGGTCGTCCGCCTCAACGCTACCTTCATGTAAGCTAACACTTACATATGCAGGCTTACAATGCATAGATGATGATGACGGTGACAAATCATTATTACCAATAGAATATTGAAATGGCACAGCCATGCCAGTAATTCGACGATATGATTGTCCATTTGACGCTACAGATGGAAATAATGTAGTGAATAAAGATTTGGGTCGTTGAAATTGTCGTTTAGCTAGATACTGAAGGTAAAAAATAAATAGATGAGAAGTAAAATACTGAATTACTAAGAAAGAGAATTAGGAATTACAGTGAACAATATAGAAAAGAGGTTATTTACATTAAAATTAATTATAAATAATAACAAATGCAAATAAACTACAAGTGGTGTTTGACAACCAAACATAGTTACGATAATTTAAGTATCATTAACTTTGGGAGAAAGGAAAGTGAATGGTGAAAGATTTGCAAATTTAGGTGCTTTCAGCAAAGTGGTTATAGGTGGTACTATACACAAAGCCGTTTGGGTTTCACTGGACCATACTGTTGACAAGCAGAAATACGTAGATCTAGCATAGACAGTGGAAAAACCTGTAATGGAAGGAAATATGATACAACGAACAAACTGACAGGAAATATAGTAAACCAAAGAGACCGGTCAAGGACGAAGAAGGTAAGCCAATCACTGGGATTCAAGAGTAGAGGAACAGATGGACAGAACACTTTATGGAACTCTTGAATAGGCTAGCTCCATTGAACCCATCAGACATCGAAACAGCACATACACACGTCCCCAAACTTACTAGCATACCAACATTAGAAGTCAGCGAGGCCGTAAGACAAAAAAAGAGTGAAGAAACAACAGGGTCCGACAACATACCATCTAAAGCACCAAAGTCAGATACAGAGGTAACTGTGATGATACACATTCTATTCAGAAAGATTTGGGAAGGAGGACAAGTGCCAACATATTGGAAAGAAGGATACCTCATCAAGATACCAAAGAAAGATCTCTGAAAGTGTGAGGAATACTCAGGTATCAAACTACGTTCACAGACCAAATTGCGACACTATGGATCGTCGTTGAGCAATCAATTGAATGGATCTCATCCCTATACATCAACTTTCTTGACTGACAGCAGGCATTTAACAGAGTGGATAGGCAAAACTTACGGAACCATTTCCAACACTATGGTGTACCTGGGCAGATTGTCAACATCAAACGAAGTTCATAAGACGGTCTACAATGCAAAGTCGTGAATGGAGGCCTGCTCCCATATGTATTGAAAGTGAAGACTGATGTCAGACAAGGCTAGTCACCTTCACCTTTCCTCTTTCTTCTGGTAATTAGCTGAATACAGATGATCGCCACATTTGAGGGAAAGCACGAAATGCAGTGAACACCTTTGATGTGGTCAAACAATTTGGACTTCGTAGATGACCCGGCTTTTCTAACCCATACACACTAACAAATGCAAGTGAAGACAGACAATGTGACAGCATCCTATGTAGCAGGAGGCCTCAACACGTACAAGGAAGAATGCAACATCCTAAAATATAACACAGTGAGCACCAACCCAATCACATTTGATGGATAAACTCTGAAACAGGTGGAAACTGTCACGTACTTGGACAGCATGATTGGTGTACAAGGAGGATCTGATGTAGATGGAAAGGCACTGATTTACAAAGTAAGGGCGGTATTCCTACAGTTGAAGAACAAATGGAACTCAAAACAACTGTCAACCAACACCAAGGTCAGAATTTTCAATACATACGTCAGAACAATCCTGTTTTACGGAGCTGAAACTTGGAGAACTAATACAATCATCACCACCACCAACAACAACAACAAGCACAACAACCTACTGTGGTAGAGAACATACTAACTTCCAGCTGAGGAGGAAACTACGAAGACGCTGGAGGTGGATGGGACACATATTTCAGAAATCATCAAACTGAACCACGAAGCAAAGCCTAACTTGGAATGCTGAAGGCGAGAGAAGAGGCCTGTGCTACACGAGGGGCAACTGGCGTAAGGGAAACGGAATAGAGGAAGAACAAATAACACAATCTGCTGGGAATCGGAAGGAGACATCAAAAGAATGAATAACAATTGGAAACAACGAGAAAAGTTATCCCGGGATGGAGTTGGTCGAAGGCCTATGCTCCACGAGGGGTAATAAGCGTAATTAAAATATAATTTTTCTAAGATTAGTTGGGTATTATACGAAACCTGAAGATTATGAAATTTAATGAGTTACTCAAAAGGTACTTTTGTATAATGCTCGTACATTCACCAGTAAACAGCAATGTCATTAACAGTAATTATTAGTTGATTAGCTATAGGAATTTAAGTTTGTAAATGCCTTCGAATACGTTATTTATAATGAAAGAGAACTAAATATAATTAAACGTAGTTTATATTCTACACAAAAAAGTTGCACTTGAAGCTCAGCTGTATGAGTTTTTTATCATTCATTCAGGTGATGGTGAATATATACATTGTCAGGACATATCAAATTCACATTTAAGTTCATGTAATATTTTTGCTATTCCTGAAAGTAACTGAGCTAGGAATGACGAAGGTGTATTCCTGTGAAATAATGACTTTAAGGGTTACTGGAATAAATTTGATGAACACCGGGCTGAGTGGTCATCTGATCATCGACAGAAGAAGGATACTACAATAATATTCCAGAATTATCTATTGACAAAAAAACTGTCCTAAATTCTTTTACCTCACCAATTCATGAAACAACATAAATAATACATTATTTGTTTACTGACCCGTTAGTTCAAGATGATTTACCTGAAATTCTAATGGGAAATTGTGACTTATAACGTCAATAAAATCGGGTGCGAAAAAGTATATTTATCAGATAAATCAGATTATGACGTTGTCACGTTGCCGATCAAATTTGGGAGTAGTTAAATGGCCATGTCCTCGTTGCCATACTTATGCTACACATTACAGAATTGATGACTCATGAGTTATAAACGATTGTCTATCTAGAAATGAATATGCAAGAATTCCAGTGTTATGATGGCGTAGCTAATCAACGAATCGGTGGATTTAAAACATTTCTTCCACTCTGGGTAACTCAATAACCAAGCGCTAGTTAGAATACTGGATATGTGTAAACTAATGATATAAGAATATGATAGAGTAACTAAAGTTTGAATACTTGAACCGCTTCGCTTCACAGTCAATAAGTCACAACTTTACCAACATATACATTTACAACCCAATAACTTTTGTTCTGGATTCCACGACTAGACGCCATCCATCTCTGCTTATAAATGTAAGAAAACTTAAATACAGTTTAGCGACATACGCGATTACATAGTACAAGATCCTATTTTTTGAATAGTTTTAATTACAAAGAGTTGGGAAAGGGAATACTTTAGAAATTTTGTTGCCCTATATAAAGATTGATTAGTGGAGTAAACAAGCAGATATTACTTTAGTTTGTTAACGCTTATGCGGATAATAATAACACACAATAACAATACAAGGTTTGATGACGTTATATATATATATATATATATATATATATATATATATATATATATATATATATATCATCTGTCTACAAGGCGTAAGCTAGAACCAATAGCACATAAAAGGAAAAATTCTTATTATATTTATACCCTACAATTAACCTCTATTTACATTTAATATGATTTTTTAAAATTTTAACGTTTTAAGATCTGATGAATCTAATGTTTATAAAGTGTGTTGCTGATACATGGATAAACAATCTTAGCGCAAGTCACAGATAGCGTATATGAAATGGCAGAAAAATTACTGAGCCACAGAAAAGATAAAATTGAAAAGAATTAGATATCTGAGATCATCATGAAAAGTAACTTCAAATTTATGTCTTATAACCCGACATAACGGTGCCTGATTAATTCTTCATGTTTGTGGTAAAAAGAAATTAGATGGTCGAAATACGATTCATTTTTGATGATAACTTGTGTAATGTAAGACAAATGAAAGTCTGTCAAGTTTAAATATATTCACTTCAAGTTATTTTGTAAGGTTTATCAGTAAGCGGACGCTTCACCTTCAAACTTAACACAGCACTTTTATGTATTGATAAAGGTATTCAGCATGATAGTGTATCGCTCTTCCTTCAAACCGTAGTCTAGAAAACAGCAAGGTAAGAATGCTAAGCAAGTGAGGTTGAAATGAGAGACTGGAATTCGCTTTATTCAAACAGAAAGAAAAATGTACTGAGCATAAGAAACAAATGAAATAAATGAGATTTTTGCTCACTTGTTTAGGTAAATTAGGACGAGAATCTGGTTTCAGTACAGCGCCTTCATCAACCATAAGTTGAGCTAAATAATGACGTCTAAGACTACTGATATTTGATGGTTCCAAATGTTCATCATCTAGACTGTAGGCAGCCTAACGAAAAGAAAAATGAATGTAAACTCTGAATGATTTTCCGGAATACCGAAAAATTTTAAGGACAAAGTTGAAATTCGGAACAATTTAGGTAGTTGCAATGTATTGTGAAAAAAAAGATTAAAAATAGTCACTATGAGAATGGAACGTCATAAATTTAGTTTTAAGTCATTTTTGATACCTTTGGTTGTAGTACACAAAGATGCCCGAATAATTACACGCAAATAAGAAATGTCGGTGTTTGGATCGGACTTGGTTATATAGATAAGGAACCGTGATACTTAGCCAGGTTCTAAATTGAAGGACTGACGTGTCTATGAAAAAGTATTAGGAATTTGTTTCTTGATGCACGATTTTTTAGTGGGCTTTATTAGAAGAATGTAAGCGATTGTTTTGTTTTGAGACTGTTATACATAATACATCAGAACGAGGGAAGTTAGAAGGGCATGAAAATGTTTCTACTTTGAAAGTGATACAGTATTATGACTATATAAAGATGTATTGTGTGAGCTATTTATTATAACTTTCATTGTAATTGTAATGAGCAACTTCACACTATAAACATACCATATATTCTCTGTTACACATCAGTTTTTGGTTGGTTACAAGGTGCCGAATACATCACACTTAGGATACTATTTCTACATGTAAATGACTAACTGGTAGTTAGACAGTACTTATCGTACATTCCAGTACCTCAGTAAATGTGTATTTTCGCTTTTCTGAAAAAAACACTCCATCCATTCCGGAAATCGAGATAATTTGATTTAAATACAATTTAAAGCAATTACTCTCTTTTATGAATATCAATAGAGCAATTAGAAGACGGAGTTGATCTGAAAAAAGTGATGTATTTGCACTATACATTTCGAACAATCTGGTCATGCATATACTTATCAGGGCTTTTTTCTATGAAAACTAATAAAAGTCAACTAAATGAAAGTTCAAGTAAAAAAATACATATATATACGAATGTAAAGCTTAAGTAGATGATTTCGTCGAAAAGAAAATTTTCTTCGCTGATTTCTCTTTTTCTTATTCAATAAAAAAATACAGTTATTGGTGATTGCCAGCTCCAGTTAATATACAGGTGTCAAATGATAAGATGTTGAAAAAGATGAACTATTTTTTGACTATGACGAATCGAGGTTAACCAAATTCCAAAAATCCAACTAGAATGACTATATTGTCGTTGGAGAAGAAATAAATATAATTTCTTTCTTAATAAAAGAACAATTAAAAAAACACGAAGTACCAAGCTTTTAACAAACAGAAGTTTGGAAAGTAAAAATGTACGAAACAGATTCACAAGATAGATAAATAGGAGCAAATGTTTAACAACAAATAACTTTCAACCAGTAAAACGACAGCAACCTCGTAATAATAGTGGGCAATACTTAACAAGATAAATTATGTCGAGCATCAGGTGAGGATAAACCCCACTCTCATTCGCATCTTTGATCTTGCACCTGGCAACCAACCAAAATGGAACGAAGAAAAGGCACTCTAATTGAAAACTTTCGGGCGATCTTCCTGATAGGACAAAACTATCAGTACTAGGAACACCGTCCGCGTTTCCTTTCTCAAAGCTGAAAGATAAATATACTTCCGTTTGAAGTATCACATTAGTAAATGCATTATACATACATAACTAATGATTGGACTGCCAATGAAATCTAATACTTCTTAGTCTAAAACATGAAGATTAAGAAACATCTGGATGTATTGGCAGGACAGCATTATATGAATATACTTACCTTGATCAATTTATTTATATCAGTTACTGACCCTGGTGCATTAGAAAGTGAGTGGAATATCTGAGATGAATTGTTCAAACTCAAAATTTCCTCGTTCTGTAGGAAACAGAATAAAATTACACAAATCATACATAAATGTGTTATTTGTGTGGAAAGAGAAGAATAAAACAAGAATTCGTTATCTTTATCACAGTCTAGGAAAATAGCGAGAATAAGAGTGCATTCACCTATTATTTTAGATTGTATTTTTATATAGAGCAATATTTTCAACAAGACAATATTTAGAACTATTTTCAACTGTTATTATATTACTTCAAGTCGCAAGGAAACTTGGTTAAATGTGAAGAACAATTATTGGGGTTAGTCGGATAGCAGAGGGTGGAAGGTATCGACAAAATTTCCTATAAATGCACCAATAACAAGAGTAAATTATTAATAAGATTATTATAAAATAAGACTTAACCAAATTCGTATTACGTTTATATACAAATGTTTCGCAAACTGTTCCTAGAAATTGTGATACATTCTGAAGAGTGGGAGAATATAGTAATTACACGAAAACTCTCACAATCTTTGAATAATGGAAAATTTGTTGCTACGTTATTTTAGCATTTTGCAGCTAGATTTTTGAAAATTAATTTTTGTTCAAAGTAATATTCTCTACAAGTCATGCTTTTTAGAATAATAGGTTGTTGATAACAACCAGAGTAAATAAGATTGATGAGCTATGTTTTTTTGAATTCAAATAGGAATCACCTGGTAGCAAAGGATGGATGGGGTTTGGAAATGCCAGGTTATAAAATAAGCGACCAGGCCAGCAGTCGAAGAGAATCGTAATCGCAGGGAGACATCAAACTTTTCCGATTAGCTTCGCGTGAGTCATTGCTGCTCACTGCTACAGTATCTCAGGTCAGAATGAAACAACTGTTTTAGTGCTCTTTGGTCTATCATCCTATCAATGATGATTGTTGATTTAAAATTGAATAATTTTCACGAATCGATATCTTGATAACAAAATAAGTAACATAACTCCTACTTAAGCTGATTAGATAATCAGGTATTGTAATTCACTGTCAAGTATGTACAACTGAGTAGAACCATTAATTCTACTTTAGAAGATATGGAATTGAATTTCAATATGTGAAAAGATGAGTGGTGCTTCCAACACACCAAAAAAAATTTTTAATTCGGTAGCTTCGTTTTGTTAAATGAATGAGAAAATTTCGAATGACTTGATTACCAAATAGAGGTGGAATTTTACGAACGACTGACTGAATTAATTAAGAAGACAATAAATATTGAGGATCAAAAACTGAAATTGATGTTCACAGAGAAACGGACCCATCTTTATGCTTTATAAATGAAGCAATGGGGATAAACAGACCAAGCTGAATTAAAATATACCTATCCAATTATATTTAAATGAGGTAGATAGTAACTTGCTTTAAAAAATGCATAGATGTCCACGTGGAGATGGACTTTTTCATATTATGCAAAATATAGACGAAATTTTGTTTCAATCCAATGAAAATCCATATCACTTATGACAGTTTGAAATAGTGAAATGAATTTAACTGCCGTGACCATGTGTTTCAGACATTGGATTTTGATTATTTGCTTGAAGGTGTCTAACCCGCTTCCCCTATTAATGTTCAGATGTATTATATAAATTTGATTATTAATCCATCACATGAACTTGGATATGATGTCCAAAATTTGGGCTTAACATCCAGGTTCTAAATGATTAAAGAATAAGTACCCTATATGCCAATTTTCCTTCAATCGCTTATAACATTTTATCCCGTTTATTTTATGTTCATACTCTGCATTTATGAACCCTATTTACTACATGAAAAACATATTCACTAGGTTAATCGTCTTGTTTCTGATTTCAGATCATTCGGAGGCTCAATTAAAGAATTAGTTATAGTGAGTAGTTGTCAATTGGGGACATAACATCACTACATTCATCAATGGATTATCATTTTGCTAATTGATTTTGACTATTTCTAATACGTTAAGAACCACATTCGGTGAAAAACAAGAAAGCTGAATAATGACCTATAAATAAACATATAGTATTCATCCTAAATATTATTTAAATTGATTATGATCGTAAAACTACTACTAATATTGGCAGTTTATCCCAAGCTTGCTTAATGAATGAAGATCATCATAGTTATTAAAAGAGAGAGTTTAAACGCAGTAATTTTCGACATCGTGTGTCTCTCAGATAATTAATTTGATGGGTAATATGTGATTATTTTTATAATAATAATAATAATAATAATAATAATAATAATAATAATAATAATTATTATTATTATTATTATTAGTAGTAGTAGTAAATGGCAATATTTACAACTTTCGAGTACAAATATATGACTTAGGAAAAAAAAGATGAAGTGCTGACTACTAATGCACTAGTTCAAGTTATCAAAAGAGCAAAGGAAAGAAAAAGGACTAAATATTCTCAAGAAATCTAAGGAAATAACAAGGATGTTCGATATTTGTAGCGAGATAAAATCTTGAGTCGTGATGGGCCACAAGACATACTAGTTTCATAAAACCATCTTTTTAGACTACAGTGCTGTTTTAGACTATCCTGGTTGACATTTATGGTCAAAAAGCAACATGTTGAATCTATTTCTGAAAAATGTTAATTTAGATTACAAATGTTAAGTCCTCTACTTGATTAAAACAGAACACGATATATAACAAACGACGTTCGAGTGTATAGAACCCCACAGCCGCAAATCAGAAGAGGCAGGATAAATGATTTATAGGTAAGAATAAAAAATGTACAGAAAAACATGTGTATTCATAGTTACTAGCATTGGACATAACATCGTTATAGTTCAGCCAATCCACAAGGAGGCAAGTTATGCACTGTCCAATCGTAGCATGTCATGTTACTATTCTAGAAAGCTCCGCCAGATTCTGGTTGGACGGAAACTCTTCGGCTCCGTCGTGCTTCTCGAAATCCGTCCAAACAACAAAACGGTCTGCTACAAATTTATTTTTGATGTAATATATGTTTCCAGATTTATTTTAATATCTGATCCAACTTAAAATTGTTACTGTGCATTGAACGCATCATCAAACATGTTCCATTGTCATCGCATAAGATAAGACGTCCGAGGTAATAAGTTGGTAACGGGATATGAAAAAGTAGTATGATAGCAATCTGTAAAGTGAACAGTGAAGCTGATAGATGAATTATCTGGACACTTTTAACAGACCAAAAATAGGTCTTGAAAAATAACGTACTATGGACCTACTTTGTATTTAAATAAGATACAGCTCGATTATAAATAACGCATATTTTCTGAACACTGACTTACATGGACGATGAACAAGTGACGCTTTTCTCTTCATTTCACCCAATCCCAGCTAATGCGAAGATAGAATACAATAGGTGACTAAGAAATTTGCTACTTTCACAAGAAGTTTGATAAAAGTCTACATCTGCTGTATATGCGTATATCTGAAGTGTCCATAGGATTAGGGTAACAAATTAGTGAACTAAGATATCCGCAAACCAATAGGAATAAATAGTAGCTTTAAGAGCGGTAAAAACGAAGGATATATAGCGTAGGGAGAATTGTCGAGAAAACCGCTGAATTCAAATATGTACAAAACAAATTATAAAAAAGTAAGCCTTAGAAGTTGTTGTTGTTGGGGAGTTAAATGTCCCCAACATAGTAGGAAAAAGAAAATAAAGATGATGAAAGCACAAAATGTTAGGAATGATAATGTAATGTTTAATATTCACTATAGGTAGTCTGACCTTGACAAAGTATTTATATTTATGAATTGATAGATAATTAGATACGGGTTATTCACGTGATGTTCTTTCAGTCGTCATATAAAGATTTTCTTGGCACTTATGAATTAACTATGGACGATCACTAAAAAATACTTCTTCATTCAGCAAGAACTTATAAGCCAAATGGAATTCGTAAGATGTTACGATTGTATTATGTTATTGTTTTCGACAATTTACATCCTAAATTTCGTTCATTTTGTCAGTTCAACTTAAATACTGAATAACGATATTTTGTGGCTGAAAATAAATGTTAGGTGCAATTTACATATAACATCGAAGCCAAAAAATTATATATATATATATATATATATATATTCTTTGTAAGTATACTTTGTACATACTTTGTAGGATAACAGTGCAAGGGCGATGCGAAATAGAACGACTGAACCATCATAAAATAATAAATCCCATATTCGAAATGTTAAGGCTGTAGGACATACACTTGAATACAGCGTGAGAAACCATTGTAACGTAATAAGCGGTAGGCCTGTGTCCACAGTGTGAGAGGGTAAAAAGAAAACAAGTTAACAAATGTTTGAAATAATCATGGTGCTTACTCAATCAGCTTCGTTTAACTATCACGTTAATAGATCAACTTTGAAAAACTATTTGAAAATTCTGAGTTGTTTCACTTTTTATAAAAATGCAAGGGTACCTGATATGGAGAGCCAATCAAAAGTAGCAAAAGGTCAATCGATGGTAATCAGAAGTGCCCCAAGCTCAAGTACATTTCATTGGGGTCAATGGATCAATTTCCTAAGGATAGAAAGGTGTATATATGAATATTTGTACATTTCATTCGGTAGTTCAAAACACCTAATCGCTCAAGTAGTCAGTTGGGGGGTTAGCAAGTAGCATACCGTGCATCAGTATCAGATTTCGGACGCCGTACGTCACAACGGTACCTGTAAGATTGGTTAGTCCTTTGGGCTTATTTGTCTGCCTGGAAGAGATTATATGAAACACAACTGAAGGTGGATTGATTTAAGATATGGTTACGTTTAGTAGGACTGGTAAAACAATCACAACATAACAGGTAATAATTTATTAATGGAATCTAAAAGACTTGTAGTTGTTACAAACTTTTTTTAAAGAAAGTTTAATGGTCAATTCGATTATGTTTGTTGGGGGATATACTGACTGTGGAAGATCAATGAAATTTTATCGAATCACAGTCGATAAGGCAGGATAAAGTTTACCAAAATACCTGTAACTTTTTACTCGTCTGGTGCGATCACAAAATAGATTTTAAATATTGTATAACAGTTTTAATTCTGCTAAACAGGACCGTTCAATAAAGTGATTAGTACAAACGTTTTTGAAATATCCCTACTTTCCTCTATAACATTTAAAATACAGTCACAGTCAAAGAGAATATCGTTCATAAATAAATACATACAATTTTGTCTATAAGGTATCACGTTTTTTTCATTTACAAAAGCAATCGAAATTCACCAGTCTGTGCAAGTAGGTGATTGATTCTTTAAACACAGTGACAGGATACCATGTAAGGATCACCATGTCTCGATTGATATATTAAAATAACTAAAGCTATTTGTTTTATACTTAAAATAGTGAGCACACATACACAGGAAAATAAGAAAATAAAAATCAAGATTTCGATCAATAAAAATGGATAGAAAATCTATTTTTATGGCACATTTTGTGGCCTAGCATTCATGTTGATTCTTGTGTATGCTCTGGTGTAGATAAACAATATCACGAAAAGCGATGAGTCGAACAACCAATATATATATATATATATATATATATATATATATATATATAAGCTACTTTCTTGAAAAATATAAGACGCATCTCAACGTTGAAAAGGTAGTACATTATTACTTTCGAAAACAGTTTAGTGGAAAAACAGGTTTACTTTCTACAGAAAAAATAATATAACTGAAAAAATGATAACGATTTTTCATTTTATTATTCAAGCACTTGCTTGATAGAAAAGATGACATAGTAGTAAGAAATATATTGTTATATCCTGAATAGAATTATGAATTGTAATCCTGAGACGTATTTAAGGTCTAATACGATGCATATATTTTTATTGTATAAATGTTAAGTAGCCAAACTATGCATATTCAATTTCCGCCTATTATAAGCTTTATTTTGACCCATAGACTATTATTATGTGATTTACCGTTCTTGAGTTATGCCCAGTCTATTAATTACAGTCTCCCACATTCACAGTCACTTTTGGCTAGATCTTGTACAAATGTTGTTTTCTATTTTATGGCACGATGTGGTCTGTTTGGTTTGTATATAAACACAGTATGTTTGAAATACATGACTCATATTGCATAGGCTGAGATTGGTGTTTTGGACTCAACAGGCAGGACTAGGCAGGGAGAAGGTCCGATAAGGAGTCTAGACTACTCGTACGGGTTTACGAGTCATTGGTCCGGTCGATAAGTCACTGCTCTTTAATTGGTGGTATCATTACGTTATGTATTGATAGGAGCACAGGGCCACATATTATTACTAGTAACTGTCTTACATCATTTGATATTAGATACAAAGATTAATTCAACACCTATAAATTGGATGTTATGTATGAAAAAAAAGGAACGGTAGTATGAAGAATGAACATTTTGCTTACTTATTTCATATTCTTTTAAATGTGCATCTAATTCTGGTAGATAGAATGGAAGTAGATGATTCAGTACAAGTTGGTCAGCTTGTACACCCAATAAACTAAGTGACGAGAAATATGAGGGTGGTAGAAGGTCCTCAATAATACTGCACATCATCCAAAAGGCTGTTTCTTCTTCTAGGCATAATAATAGATTTGCAACTATCTATTGTAGGCATAAAAGGTCGGCGAAAAAAATAAAATGAAAATTCAGGTTAATTTATTATGATTAACGAAATTCAAAGAAATGTTCGTACAAATCTTGTAGTCGTCAGGCTAGTTGAATGTTATGCAGCACAGACACACACATATGAAACAGTGTTATCAAATCAGGTTACGTTAGAAGTCCTGTTTAGACGAATGAGTGAGGTACTGATGGCCTACAAGACTGAGTAATGGTCATCATGTTTTTTCGTGTTAAGCTTTAATTACTATTCTTGAAAAAATTATGGTTTCTTATGGATTTAAGTAATTATTTCTATTGCTTATTGATAACTAATTGCAAATTAATTTCCAGACATACTGATCATTATTAGGTGAACTTTAAAGAAACGTAGCTTTTTATTTTGGAACTCCTTGAAAAAGCTTCTTACCATAGGGGTTAGACTGACAACCTTCAGATCTACTGACAGTCAAAGTGATTTTTTGCCGTCAGGTCATGCTTCACTGGCCTAATACGTGGAACTTTCCCGCTAAGATTCGGCACGTTTATATGCGATTTTATAGCCCCAATGACCATTAAAGTTATTAACATTCTCGTAGCAATTATAATTGACCTCACTTCTTTCCTCTTATCTTACAGGACATTGTGAAACAAATTTCTAAGTAACAGGCGAATAAATTTCCCTCCTTAATTCAAGCTTACTTTTACTAAAAACCGAAGCAATAATAGTTCAGGTTATACTACTATAATGAAAATAAAACTAATTCGTTTACAGGAAACAGAAAAAGTTAGAAAAAATAATGAAATCAATAGTTAAAAAATATTTTTTCAAAAAATTGATAAAACAGTGGTAGATATGCTTTAGTTAATAAGGTCACAGCTATATATAATCCCAATGGATGGTAAAAAGAAAAAACAGAAGAGAATTATACGGACGAATAACAAATATTGTTAATATGAGATAAGTAGTGGCACAGTGTAATATAGAATGGGATTTGGTATTAAGGTATTCTATAATAACAGTTGTTTACTGTGGTGTTTGATTGTTTGTTTATGCCGAATATTTATCAGTTTTTATCACTAGGTCTACTGGGTCAAGTAGTAGGATCTGATCAATCTTGGTTTTCAGTAAATAAACGAGTTACCCCTTGAAAGACGACATGTTGGATTTCGATATCAAAATCATAATGTGTGTTTTTGCAGTCACTATTCATATTATTGTACCGAAACGCTTCAGGTACAACTGACCTTTTAGTAACAGTAAATTTTCTACCTAAATTATCACTTTGTTTACCATGGAAGCTTTCTTGGTGCCCTAAAATACGAAGCTTTTTGTCTGAGTAATTATTAATTGAGCTTTTTTGATGGAGAAGGGAATTTAAACAACGAACTGTTTTTGTTTATTGACTTACTAATCCCATGCCTTGACAATATCCTACGTCTACATACAACCAAGCTAGGGCACGCAGAACTCGACGCAGTCGCGAAATACCAGTAGAATTTGAAGAATGGAAACATAGATTATTTGGCATTGTACGGAAAAGATCCTAGAACACAAAAGAAATAAGATGGTGAGGAGAGAAGTAATCACATTTTACTGAAATTTTATTTTGTATTATACTGTTATGACTGATCATCGCTAATTGTTATGTTGGAATTGCTTATTACTTATACATGTAAATCAAGGAACCACTGCATATTCAATAAGTGGTGATAAATGATTTTACGGAGTTTCGACTAATTGTTATTCTTTTTACGCGATAGAACCCTGTCAACAATAACGAAGTTGTCATCAATTAAAAGTGATAACAAAAGTTGACAATGAAAAGTAATACTGATGGATTTGCAGTTTCGAGTTTTTGAAGAAAACTTTCAATTTAGGTGGTAAATAAAACAATTTTCCATTAGATTTATTTCAAAGTAGAATGTTTGAAGAGTCTAATACAAATAATTACTGTTCTAATGAACTACTGTTATCATTGGCGATGTTAATCTAAAACCAAAATACAAAGATCGGGGATGGAGCGTGCAGTTTACACTTTTTTTCTCAACTATTAATTATGCATATCTACAGGAACTCTAAAAGCTAGTTACATACTTATTTAGAGGAGGGAAAGTTCTGTTATACATTCCAATAAATTAATCTGATCATTTAACTTCGATGTTCTTGCTACGAAAATAGGACTTGGTTTAATTCCTTAGAAAATTGATAGCCAAAAAAAACTGAATAGTAAACCATTGAGACAGGATGCCGATCTTCCTACATGCTTGGTTCTAAATATTTCATTCGATAAAGAGGACATTAAGATGTACATATGACTGTTTGTATATATTCAGATTTCAAATACTGAAACTAATTTCACGATAAAATCTGACAGAAATCAAACAAAATTAAAGTATGTAAATAATTACATTTACCAAATAAACTGTATGAGAATATTTTCCAAATGATAAGAACAATGCATATTTGACATATAATCCGTTTTCGTTTTCTACTTATTATTATTAGCCTCATTAATGTAATATAATTATTCAATAAGTAAATACTAAAAAATTAACGAACAACTTGTTTATAAGTCAAAAGCGATATAACAATTAAGCAACCTTTTCAATCTGAATTCCGGCCAAAAGTGTGTCTGTAGAGCTGAGTTGAACTAATTCAGTATACGTGATCGAAGGTATTCGTTGTTTAGATTCTTTTGCTTTTAATAAGGCTCCTGTTAGTCTAGGCCATACATGAGGTCGAAGAGAATGAGGAATCCCAAGTTGTTCACCAGATTTAGCAAGGGCTTCTACATCTAAGGCTTGTCCTCGAATAAGTTCTGTTAGTCTGGGTGACTGAACTAAACGTAAGTTTACTCTTGACCATAATTGATCATCATCTTCATCGACAGTAGATCCAACTGAACTATATCTGGCATCATATTCGTCTAGACTCGATATACCCAGTGTATGAGTATGAGAGAATTCCAAGCAGGTCAACCAAGCACGTCTATTGGCAGATGATTCGACGAATGGGCACGGAAGGTTTTCTACATAAAGCAAATTATATATATATATATATATATATATATATATATATATATATGCGATAAAGGTGACAGCTATGTGAAAGAAAATCGTACACCATGCACAATTTATTTTCCAAAGTAATATAAAAGTATTGACAACCGAACTGGATGAAGATAGGGTGTAGATCTTACAAACAGCTAAACAAACCCAATGAAAATATTCAAAAAAACTAGTCTGAAACAGTTAACTCATCACATACAAGTTTATGTCCTTGGTTCTGAGCCTAGTTGTTTGTGTGAGGGCTAGAGAAACTACCCAGCTGCACAAATTAAACTAAGTGAAGTATTAAAACCGATAGCTGACTTATCCCAGCTACTCTACCTTTTAAGCAACTGATTGAGGCATATTACCAGGGTATCAAATGCTTAATTCCGAACTAGTAGCATTTTAAACTTTTAGGCAGTAGATTAAATGATAAAAGGAATGATTAGAATGCGAAAATGATAGCTTCTACTCTAAAGATTACTGGAATTAATGGGGACTATAGATATGTTAACAGCTTTGATTGAGTCAAAAACTATTCAGAAGAATAAAGTTTCCCAACCATACACTTTATTCACTACAAAAAACTAATCAGAATTGATATCGTTAAAATCGACCCGTATCAAGGCAACCTAAAACAATTTCTAATTTTTGGTATCGTAGAAAGATGATTAGTCTTGCTAATGGGGACCAACTTTTATTATTGAAATAACTACCAGCAAAATGAATTGGCAGATAAATGGAAAATAACCATTGAGACAAACAGAATTTAGCAACGAGATTTTTTGTAGGAGAATCCATGCTCGAAGTTGAACAGTTGTAAATATAGATTTTTCCACGATAATCACCAACGATATGTTTAATAACAACAATAATTTACTGAATTTAGTGACAAAGAAGCAAAAATAAATGAAAGGAAAAAATTTAAAGCAATTGATAATGTAATAAGAAGAAAGAGATTATCAGAACTATGTGATGTATTAGCGCAATACAATTCGAACAATCTGATCACACATATATTTGTTAAGAGCATTTATATATAAAAATAAAAGGTCAACTAGACTGGAAATGGGTAAGAGGAGATAAGGATAATAATAATAATAATAATAATCTGAACACAATTCAAAACTTAATCACTCTGGATAATAAGTCAATACTACCAGGGTAGGTTCAAGGTAGGAACAAACTGTTTTTGAATACACAAAGGGGGTTTGAATTTTCGTATGGAAAAAAAACTTATTAATAGACTGAAAATGTAGCTTCTGAGACTGAATCATTATTAAGGATATTACACTAATCAGATAAAGGTCAATAATTGTGAAAAATGGTTTTCGTCATATGGTGAAATAAAATTTTGAAATTGGAATGAAATGTAATCAGAAAGGAGATGGGAGAATAATTGAGTCCCTCAGGAGTAAAACTTCAATGTAGAAGAGAGGGATGATAGTGGTTCTGGGAAATTGCAGTTGTGGTAGTTCTGACTTCAGTAAATGTACGATAAAGGCTTCACCACTACAAAAAAGATAGCATAGTTTTTGGTTGACTTTTTTTCAACTTTGATCACTAAATGATTAATCTGTTTTGATCGAGTTATATGTGTTCGACAGTGTTAGCGGCATATGGACTGAATTAAAGCATGTGTTGTGGCACGCTGATTGGCCATTCCTTAGCCAGTCAGCGCTAGCGGATGCTTGGAGAAGATTCTATTACTTTTTTCTTATTGTGACTCCTACTTCCATTCAACTTCTGTTTATTTGGAGAATAATTACGTTCCTGTTCAACCGTGTTCTGATTTGGGGACTTGTCGAGTGAAGTAAAGTGTTTAAAGAATCTTAACCAATGAGAACAAATGAGTCGTGACAAGCGATCATATAAGCAAGGTTTTAAATTATTAGGTTTCTAGTGGAAAATGTTTTTAAACCCTCTTGAGTAGAATGCACATTGAATGGGCTATATGACTAGCTCCAAAAAAGCAGATGAGTAGGTAAACATACATGAAAATGGTCAGATGAAGCAGTATATCCTTTAGATTAACAGTGAACATTGGTCAACTAAAGAACACCCACATTAAGGTAGATACGAATAGAATTTGTAGCTTTGTCATCGTTTGAAATCAATGGCATGAAACACTTCCTTTGGTACAGAATTTACTGATTCTTTTTCAGATTCAAGTTTATACTCTTGTCAGTGAATCTGAGTGAATATCTAACTTCCGTACGTTTTTCTTAGGATGTTTAATTCCTTGTTTACGACATCGGCACTTAATTTTTTGGATTTGTGTGGGGACGGACATAATACAATATTCTCTGCAGTTCTATGTTTACGGAAATAAGTTTTTGATATTTAATCGTTGGAAAATATCACATCGCTCCACAAGCAACGGACATTATTACTGTTGTTCTATCATCTAGATAACAGATTATATATTCCACGTATATGAAAAACCGGAGTAGTTAACAGCAACCTGACAGAGAACTTCGAAAATATGATTATGTTTATAATCACCGCAATTAAACTTGAAATAAATTTTAACTAGTTGCGCATTAATGGTATAGACCACGGTGAATTAGGATGAATCGACCACTGTGCTTAAAAGTGGCAAAAGATGAGTGCTTCTGATTATTTCAATATTTCTTCGTTTTTGTTTATCGATTTCCCGTCTGGTGTTATGCTGTATGGTAGCCTAAATTTATGCATTTATGTATGATGTGCTGTTATTCGACTGCTCTGACGATGAAGTTTCGATAATATTACACATAATTTGGTTCTGTCTATTTGTATCAAAGATGAATACATACAACTTATTCAGAAGTATGAATTAATTTTACCTGGTTCACTTTTAAATATTAAACCTTTTTTCACTTACTAAGGTAATGGTAAATTTCCTTATGGAAAATAAGGTAAAACAAAGTTTGATTATTAGAAATTATAGTGAATAACAACTAGGCGAAAAAGACCTACATTAAATAACACAATCCAGAAAAAGCAATAATAAAATTTTCGATACAAGTAAAACTGGATGATTTTTCTCATTATGCACCAGTTATATGACAAGTTATTTAAAACATGAATTCGGTCACAATTTGTTATAGTCTCTACTTTGTACATATTCCATTTTCGTTTATTAGATCAGGAATTGATAATAACTTTGGAGAGGGGACAAGGCATGGGAAGTCAATTTTTCCTATCAATTACGTAAAAATAATGATTACTGTCAAGAATAGATAAACAAGCGAAATGCACATTAACAAAGTGTTAGGAAACCACTGAATGGAAAAATATTCCATCGGAGTGAAGGGAATTAAAATAAGTGATATGTGACTGACTGTACATGCGAAATTGTTATATTTATGTACACCACCATATTTTTATGGTAATAACCATGTACATATTACTTACATTATTTTTTAGTTTAATTCTAGTTTCGAAGGAAACTTGTGATTCCCCTTCCATGTACCATGTAAAGTGACTACACTACAAATGGTAGTATCGGTTATTAGGTTGGTAACATACGAAGATGATGACTACAAAACATTTAGCTCACCGTATATCATTGTTCCAAAAAACATCATTCATGGCCACAAACTTGATTTAACGCGACCTCGAGCCACTCTAGGACAATTGCTAGTTCCAAGACAGTAAAAGAGGAAGGCTTAGAGTGTGATTAACAACCTCAATTAGTGAAACGAAAACAGCTACGAGACAAACATCTAAACTAATCAAACTCTGTAATCAATGATCTTGAGTGCTGTTAGATGTATGAGGGCGGTTATCACTTCTTGGTTGCCTACACTGTGGAAGTGTTCTTCTAGAGGTACCTGGAAAGGAAATTGGGTCAGGGGTGGTTTTAGTGACCACTAATAGGATGAGAAACACAACCATCCAGCATCAGAAACCCATCCTCCGAAACAAACAAGCAAAATTTACCACAAATGTCATTCAATGCTACGCACCCACTAATGATGGAAGTGGTGATAAGGAACAGTTACATGAGAGGCTGAAGTTCATCACAGACATATGTAGAGAGTAACATTTGATCATCCTGATGGAAGACGTACAAGTCAAAGTCGGGTTTGACAACATAGAACATAGACGCCTTAAGGAGAAATATGGGCTGAGAATAAACCACTATAGAGAGCAACGGAGAGGGATTGAAGGAGCACTAACTTCAAAATTCTGGAAGGTTCTGGGTCCCAGATCCCAGCAAACACCAGGATAAACAATGGATCACTTTAGATAATCTGGTCAAGATTCAACAAGTGGAAGACAAGGAGACAGTAATCGAGAAGTCGGATCAGAGAAAAGAAGGACAAGGTGCAGCCACATTATGTACGAGCAAACACGCGAATAAAGAAATACATTAGAGTTGACTATCGTGAATATTTAGAAAACTTGGAAACTACAGCAGATCAAGCTTCGAGAGAAGGAAATATCAAAGATTTATAGGTTACAACCAAGACGTTGGCAGGGAAATATAGTGGACCAGATTAACCGGTTGAGAACAAATGAAGAGAACCAATTACTGAGGATCATGCGCAGCATAACAGGTGGATAGAGCTGTTTGAATACATTGCTGAGTTCACCGAACATTGAAAAGCACATATAATCCTCATGATAGATGTTGGGTCACGAACAATGGAAGAAACTAGCAAAGCCATCAGGTAAATCAAAAATGGGAAAGCAGCAGGACAAGAAACTCATACCAGTCGAAGCACTGAAGTCCGATACAGAGGTAACTAAAAGACGTTTCATGTTCTCTTAAAAAAGATTTAAAATAAAGAATAAATACATACAGATTGGAAAGAGAGACACTATCAGCATACCAATGAAAAGAGGTCTTATTAGGTGTGAAAACTACAGAGGAATCACACTACTGTTAATACCAGACAAAGTCTGCAACAAAGTATTGTTGAACCAAATGGAGGATTCGGTGGACGCTCAATTTAGAGGTCAACAAGTCGGCTTGTGTATGTGCCGACCAAACTGAGAAGCTATACATCATTGTTGAGCAATCAACTGAATGAAACTTACCATTATATATGAACTTCCAAGACAATGAGAAATCATTTGACAGCGTGGATAGATAAGCCTTGTTAAGTCTTTTTCGACACTCTGGAATACCTGGGAAGATCGTCAATAGCACATGGATCTCTTACAAGAAACTTCACTACAAAGCTAATTAAAATGCATTTCAAGTGATGACCGGTATCAGACAAAACTACAAAAAGTTGCTATCGAGTCTTTAGTTTCAGAAATGGTAAATCGCATTAGCTCCTTACACTGGGTAGGTGAGACCAAGTAAATGATTGCGCTACGATCCTGAATGTATCACCCGATTCTACATAGGGTCTGAACACAGTAGGCTCCAACATGTAGTTCGAAGTACGGCTTTAGTAAGCCTGATATAGAACTTGGTGAACTAGAATCATTAGTACGTATGGAAAGAACCGAAAACTGAAGATGAGGGTTAAAAGTGAAAAACATAAAAAATTCCATAGGGTGAAGAATTTTAAATGTAAGGTGATCTCGAGTGGCGTTAATTGTATGAGGGTAGTTGTCATTTTCAAGATGCGAATAGCCTGGAAGGGTTGTCTCTTGAAGTAAGAAACTAGATCAAAGATGATATTAACGACTACAGTTTTGACGAAAATTAATGGGGAAGAGTTGGATTTGCCATTTCCAAAGACGTATTTTTCTAACACCTTTATTTGTGAGAAGGCAGTTGGTTGTATGAGCGAAACACTGTACTACTGTCAAAACCCTGTACAGTTGACTGTGTGACTTCAATCTCTGACCTTAAGTTTAAGACGTTCAGTCTTATTACTCGCCGACCGACCTGCTTAGCATGATAGGACATAAAAGAACGAAAGCCTCGGTCAATATGTCTCGATTAGGTCGTCACGATATACAAGCCTGACAAATAAGTTCAAGTAAAAATAATTGACACATAACTGCTTAAAATTTTAGATCTGGATATGTCATGATATCAAAACTACTAGTCATGAACATGAACTCTTCCGCGTTAAATAAAGAAAGTGAACAGACGATATGTATTATTATTATTTGAACACATAGATATTGGTACAAGGGGGCACCAGATACATATGAGCTACACAAATCTCATTTGATTTGTGTGAGGGCTGTGATACTGCCCAGGTGCCCAAACCGAAGCAGGTGGTTTTCTTAGGGGGCCACACCCCGAGCCTTTGACCTAAAGGTCTGATCCACAAGGTAGTGGAGCATCGTAAGGAGATGCAGTCCCATGGTAGCCGGTGACAAACGATTGGTTCATACGCCATTTGTTCCTTCAGGATACTGAAGCCCATGTGCACCATCGGTTTTGAATCAGGGTTTTCCAACTCCCCTAGGTGGACTCTCCGTGTCCACCAACCCGATTAAAGCGTCAGACATTCGCTATTCGTCCTCTCAATTTCGTAAACAACACCCCCGTCGCGAGAAGGCAGTGAGTAGGACTTCCCTAGCAGAGGCTATATACACGTGGCCATGTGAGTGCATTTTGAGAGGGTGAGCGGACTCTCCCCACTCTCGGCCGTACAGGGGCATTTACGGGCAAACAGACGATATGACTGAATGAAGTCCTGTAATTGAAATTTTAATTGTTGAGAGATAATCAAAAAGAGTTAAGAAATCTAAGTACTAAGAGTAATATATAGAAATAGAATTTAATCAACCGTTCGAATACTTTAACACCATACAAGCATAATACTGTAAAAATGTACTAATTAAAAATGACACGTTGTTGACATACGACGGTATCCTCTTATCAAATCAACATATCAATAAGCACTAGTACCAAACGGGTGATTAGATAGAATGATTAATTTTTATAACAGTTTAATGTCTAAAAATGCCAACTCAAATTGTGTAATATTTTGTATAGGAAGCCTAGTATTGAACAGCTTACAGAATCACCTACAACCAGTCAGATACATGCTGCTACTGCCTTGCACTTAGTTTTTACATGCTATTTAGCGGATACTTGCAATGGACTGTTCAATTTTTAATTCATTTGGACTCTATTCCTGTTTGAGAGCACCAATAAATGTTTGGATAAGTGGCGCCAATTAGTTGGTTAAAGCCTCTATGTCACCTTTCTATTGCGTTGTTAGTTTTAGAAACATCTTCCCAAAAACGGTACGTTTAGGAAAAGTGAATCGAGACGGCCTCTGTCTCTTTTTGGTTTCTCACTTCAGCGTTCTCCAAGATAACTTGTTGATACTTTGATGAATTCTTACTTTCCGTTCAATGGTGATGCAGTTACACTAGCAAAGGCAATTACAGTATCGACCCGATTAAAGCTAATCCTGCCAACTTACTGATCTGCGACGTAAAATTTTCATGCCGTATAACGTTGCTGAGGGTTTGCTGATAGTTGTAGTCTTCACTCTACATACTGGCTTGGATGGAGCAAGAAAGCTTATTGTGCTGTATTAGGATATAATGGTTGAAATGCCGATAAAGCTGAACGTTCCTATTCAGTCATGACAGTTGGTGTATTCAAAGTTGAGACCTGTTCGCTTAGGGGTGTGCATATAGAAATTCTAACTCATATAGTTTATTAGAATGTAAACCAAGGTAATAATCATACTTAATTTCATAGTACAAACTTTATAGATTTGTTTTATTGGAATATCAATGAGAAAACTGCTAAATTTCAGATTTTGAGTTTCAAAAAGGACCAAAATTCGCTTTTCATCCAGTGCACTATCATGTAGAGAGAAAGTCTCCTCTCTGTCTTGTATTTAGACACCACGCCTGGTGAATTTAGAGTACTTGGATTGCGTAAGGGGGTCTGATGGTGGTGTCGTTTCGGACGAATAATCTATTTTTTTAGAATCACGGCTGGAAGTTAGACTAACGATGTAGCTAAGACTTGGTGTCACTTCCGTTTATAAAACTGCTCGATTTATTCTGCCATTTACTTTTTCGCATCTTAGCTTTATCTGTAACATAATCGTATCGTTAGTCGTTTTGCAGTAGTTATATTTCGTATAACAGAGTGAACTATGCTTCCCAGTATGGTATCCCAAATTTTGTCATTAGTGCTACATTTTAAAGGTACAGTCATCCAGTATCAAAAGGCCAACACTCTTGTCACTTTTTACGTATTCTAGTTTTATTGCTATGGTGCATAAATAAACCGAGACGTCGTCAAACACATTTATGTATAATTGTACGGTTTCGAAATCTAATCACACTTTTTTTTCAAAACATGCGTTAACTAATTTATTTTATAAACAGTAACTGGCTACAATTAATTAGTCGTAATTTAGTTTAATATCTTTACATTTTCTGTCATTTGCAGTTGTATTTGATATCTGAATCCCTATAAAACGAAGTGCAAGATGCTTTTCATTCGCTCGGCTTTATCGATGAGGACCCTTTTTGGTGTTTGTTCTTGATTATTTATATGTACTCAACATCACTGATATTATCTATAATAATGGGCTAAATAAAACGGGATAATCAAAGTGTACGGGGATGATTTACACAAAATGTTACCTAGATCATCTATTCGAAATCCAAATTCATCAAAGTAGCGCTTGACTAAGATTGGGACGTTTGATTCTGGTGAAACTTGGTCATCTAGTTGTCTATATACACATGACGGTTTAAGTGAGGGGACGAGAGCAGAGAATGACAATATTTCGGTCAGCTCCTTCCTAAGGATCGGCATATCGAATAAATTTTCGATTGAATTGTTTTGGAATAGTTGATTTTCATTTATTTCTGATTGCTCATTCAAATCCGATCTTGAGTATTTCAGGTTATCTTTTGAATCTTCAAGCAAAAAAAAACAGACAGATGATTAGTTGACATGAGAATCACGTGAAAAGCGTCGAGGAATTATGACGGACACCAGGAAAGAACACAAAATGAATTCGAACGGTAAAACGGAATAAAGTATCCAAGACAAAATGATTTTGATTTCAACTAATAATCTCTACCATTCTCTGCAAACTCGAAGTTTGACTGTTATAACATCACTTAATACTATTCTGGAACTGAATAGACTATTGCGCAATCAAGTTTAAGCTTTTACGCCGATTGGGTTTTGTAAATATAAGAAACATTGGAGAGACTATAATTTATGGACTATTTAGCGACGCTGTGATTTTCCAAATCTCCACCTACTAACTAGGACATAGTGAGGATTGTAAACCAGTGTGAGGAGCTAGAATTATGATTTGCAGTTGGTCAGGGTTAGGAACTAGTTTTAGGGCTTTTACCACGAACTGATACCACCTAAAATGCCAAAACGCTATTTAGCCAATGGATGAATGAATGTCACGCCAAAATCTAAGGCATGATATCTTTTACCTCACTGGTTTGTACATAAATCATAGTCTCGTCCCAGTAGCTGTAAAAATTCGAATCATTACTGAGTAGGATCATGACCAGTGTAAACAGATGCACTTAGGGCTTCAATTAGTCTTTTACATACAATATCACTAATGGAAGCCTTTATATATGATTGTCAACCACCAGCTGCACTTGTCAAATGATTTTGCGGCTAAACTTGAAGGTGAGGTCCTGACCAGTCTATCGTGCAAAATGAGTGTGGTCACAAGACTAAAACGTTTGACATCTCACATTCATTAAGATTAAGTGAACAACAGGCAAGGATGTACAGTTGATTATGGGTTCAATATCTACCATCCTTTATAATAATCACAGACGACGAGAGATCACGTATATAAGCTTCAAGCAAATTATTAATACTCTTTGAATAAGACAAACATGAATCAAAAATAGTAAAACTGATTACTAACGTTAAACAGAGTGAAAATTAGTTGCACAAGTCTATACGACTGGTTTACGATAAAAAATACAATATTTAGATAAGTTGCTCTGCTTAAGACGCTGTCGCTAGAATGCTACGTAATTTTGGCTGGGCATGATTGTATTTACGTAAAGGAATTCCATGCCAACAACGTGTTTTTAATTCTCAGCCTAATAAACAACTGGGATACTAACCACTTTCGTGAAAACCACAGCTCTCGCTGGGCATTTATCTTGGCGACTCGACCTTCAGTGACCTCAAAAACTAAACAACACGGATGTTCTAAGGAATCCAAAACCTATGCACTCAAACAAAAAGATTTTCAGCCGAATGTTTTAGTACATTAAACATTGACAAGTTTAAGGACAGCTCTGAAATTCGAACTTACTGAAAACTTGTATAGATTTATAATGTGATCTAATTTTTCTATTAAATGGCCATAATTCACTATTGATTCTCTATTGTTGTGACAATTTTTTTTTAACACTCAACTACCTTATGCTTTATCACTATTAATGGCGTGTAGTTTTAGAACCTTCATAGCACCTACTAAGGTTTATCAAATCTCTCCTACTTGTTTCTCAAAGTAATTTCACCAAGTTTTTGTTTAATAATAACCAAGTAACTGTTAACAGAAATGAGTAGTGGGTGAGCGTTGAGAAGAGGAAATAGCAAAAACCTAGCTCTCGAAAAAATAAAATTCCGGACGACAACATTGTACAAAACTTTTTCATTTTATTCGATATTTAATCGTCGGAGAGTAGCTCATTCGAAATAGGTCAGCCTTTGATAGGAAATAGTGAAACAAATACCCTACAATTCTGAGGAAAGACGTCACTTTGCCTAAGCTATCCCGCTCGTGTAAAGACAAAGACACGGCAAAAAGTAAAACCATTCGACGGACAGAAACTTTAGATTTGGCACACGCTACAGCAGAAAAATTACTGACTTCGCAAAGACCATCGATTAGACGATCCACTAAAATCCGAAATATACCGCAAGACGTAAACAGTAAGAGATACCTCAAGAAGCTCTGTAAACAACCAAAGGCCAAGCAAAAGGTTATTATAATGATGTGAACTGTGATCTATAAAAACGCGTACGTCAGTTTTGTTTCAGTTGGTTCTGGGTGTCAGAATAAGTTCCATAGATGTTCACTGAGAACGCGATGCTGAAAGAAATGATGAACAAAAGAACAAAAGAGTACTTTGATATGAACAGACAAGGCTATGGTAAGTTGGCAGACGAAAGTCATACTAACTGACATCACTAGGATAAATTATGGTTAAAGATAAGAAAGTACAGTAATACAGAACAGTAAGTTACAATGTTTAACAAGGTGAAATGTTTCCGAATGACAGATAGAAATTTGGAGCAAGAATCTTAAGTTTCGTTCTTTTAAATCAAAAGTTTTAAAACAACTCTGCATGGTCTTCCCAAAATCGTGCCTAACTATTTAAAATACACACACAGTCCTACCATTAAGTCCACGATGTCATTGAACTTCCTCTCTTTAAATGAGACATAAAGCTCGTAGACTAAATGTAGAGACGATCAGCTAATTAGTGGAAGTTATAAAACTCAACTCATACCAGGAAAAACTACAGCGTCTGGGATTATTCTTGTTGAGCTAGAGAGTAATAAGAGGTTACCTGCTAGTTGTGCAACAAATTAGGTTAAACGGTTATGAGTTGATCAAAAATATCTAAGGAAACATTAAAGCTCAAATATTTATTTACTTCCTTATTTTGTATAAGGATTATATTTACTATTTTCTTACACCAAACGTTGAAAAGCTTTGTGTGTTTGGGAAAAGTAACTTCATATTCCCGCGTGTACTGTTCCAGGATCTAAATAAAAACTTATTTGCTACTAGTTTGATTTCTTCTATCAACAGAACAAGAGGTATCCACCGGCCAAGTCACTTCAACTTGAACATATTACCAGAACACCACTATTCTTCACGAGACAACCCTCAAAAGATCGAAATTAAAAAAAACAAACACCCAGGTGCGCTCTTACTATTTCCCGTCAATAGTTGTCACCGTTTGTAAATCTCTCAGATGAAGTGACCACTTCTCCTTCAGTGGATAGCTTTGGGAGAAGAACTGATAAGCACGTATTCACTAAAAGATTACCATCTGCCTTTTGGGTCGTCTGTATCCGGCTCATGTCTCACAATTTACCGCGGTTATCATTGTAAGGCCAGTGGAATATCAATAAACCCTAGCCAAAATCATCCTGCAGTTGGCTCACTGAATATCTAACCATCATTGATCTCTGTCAAGGTCAAAGATGACCAACGCACATCAGTTAATTGTGAACCATGGATTTGCCCATGCGTGATGGTCTTACACTCGCTTGTACCTACTTTAACTAATATATTTCTGTGTTGTGCAATCTTTGAGGCATCTATAGTACCTTGATACGTCGATGGGATAATCCACGTAAGGCGCTGACCACGAGGTGTGACTTCGACGTCAGCTGGTTCGTCACACCATTCCCTCCTAACTTGAGTAGGCCTCTAATCATTCGAAGTAGATCATCTACGCTGGTGATTTGCGTCCTTAATGCATATCAGTAACTACTCCTTATCTTTCGGATTAACATCTTGGTTTCACCTCTAGTTCTTTCAACCCTGTCTTCTCACATTTTCTGCACTACCAACCGATTAGTTTACTCGTTTTTTCATCGGAACAATCATCACCTAACACTTGAATTGTCACATTATTATTTTGATATTTCAAACAGCCGACCACCTACCTGCTAGTGTGATAGTTACTCATATTCAGAAACTCTAATGCCCTATGTCAAACGTACTCACGTACACTACAGAATATACAAATCCACAAATAACTATAAACTTGGCAGGCATTACTGCAGTCGAGTGGTTAGACTATCACCCATTGAGCATTGTCTAAGACTTGGAACGTACCGAAACAACAAGGAGAAAGCGTAAAGAAATTTGTTGGTTTATACAAGCTCGTTACAAAGTTAATGGATATTGAAAATATTTTGGACGGAACCAAAAGTCTGTTCAAGAAAAATGAGTTAGTGGTTATTCTGTTTTCGAATAATCATTGTTTTAACCATAAAACGATATCTGTGAGAGAGTTACAGGATCTAGAGGCGGTTAACAATGTCAACCTTATTTGAAATCTGAACGTTTTGAAATTCTATGAATCACATGCACTCAGATCAGATGAACCCTGTCTATCGTGATACAGAATTTTCGGGTCTTCATATTATCTTTCAGAAAGAAATTGAGTGAATTGTGACATTCGTCTACGATATTCTTATTTGAAGAATAATGACATAGTTGTTTCAGTCGTCTAAATAATGTCAGAAGATAGTTTCTGGTTAAGTATTTTGGATGTCAGAGTGTTTTTCGGTTATTATAGTATCATAAGATGTTTACTGCACAGATTCTGAGGGGACCAAAGCTAAACCATCAAGTGCCGACCAGTGCCTTGCTATACGGCTTGAAATCGGAGTTATTTCCTCTATTATTTAGTTCATACACTACGTTTTCTATTTTCTTCTATCGAATGATAAAATGCCCATACTTCACTAAAGCCTGATGCTGCGTAATAAACATCACGGAAAGACCATCAAGATCTTCCTCTGATTTCGATTAATAGTGAGGGTGTAAATTTTAATCGTAACAGATTGGTTGTAAATAAAGCAAGAACAAATATTGATGCAGAATAGTATGAATTCATAATATTTCGAGGTTTCTCGTCAGTTGCTTACAACCAAATATGTGATAGAATTGTTTACATTGAGATAGTGTAAAACAATGGGCATAAATGAATGTAAATAACTGGAATGACAATGATTTACAATAACAATTATATATATATATATATATATATATATTGGTTGTAGCTGATGAAGTATGAACAATATACATCATCTATCCTCATCGGCAAAACAGAACGATAAAACAATCATTTTTATTCAGCGATCATAAGTTTCAATCACTGGCGCAATAAAGACTATTCGGCAACACTTGTAGAATTACGGTCTACTATGATATTAGCACTGCTCTACTAATAGACCTAATCCTAAAATTGTAGATTTGTTATGATAGAACTGCCTAACCCATAAGATCTTACGTGGAAGTCAAATCATCATCCACACCAACTCACTGCGTCGTAACGATTATCAATACATGATATAAAACAATCTTAAGCTAGAGATGGAAAAATGTATTTGATATGAATAAAAGATATAACGTAACATTTAGCAGGGACCACGCATGCATGGCCGAGCCATGCCATACGATCAACTCCAATTTATTCAATTTATTATTCCCGCCTTCTCCCTTTGTTGGGTATTTCCCAGCGTTAAATGTTGAATGTCTATTTTCCATATTGTCTCGTGTTAGGGCCCAATGCCACTACACACTCACGAATGATTAAATAACAGCAATAAAAACAAATATCGCTCGAACTTCTGTTGGGTGCTCTCATAGACCCTAAAAATCAATCGCCAACTGTCAACAAAAGACACAACACTAACTACAATCAAAGCCACGAATACAGAACTATTGGCGCCAAAGAAAGCACGTTAGAACGATTGCACAAGTCTAATGCTATCAATGCCTCAACTTCATTGATGTAAACCTTCCTGAAGGTTTTTAGTCTGTTCTTACGATTTTAGTAATCAACACAATGTTGAAATATTTAATACAGATAGACCACGTTTTTGATTATTTCAATCATTTCATTGAAAACTTAAGAAAAAACCATCTATCCTCCACCCATTTTAAGGTTACCGGAAGATTTTGAAATGCTTAACTTAGTGAATATCTATTAAACTTAGGACGACTGCCAATTGCATGTAGTGTAGTGAAACAAAATGGTCACAAACCAGCGATGTGTAATGTCACAGTCTTCTTATTCATTCTAACAACTATAAAGATGTTGTTAGTTGGATCATGCCCCTGGTTAGACGTTGTATTGGATAGTAGGTTGGTTAGTTTAACTGCTTGTTATAAGGTATGTTGAAGCCTATGAGTTCCTCAAAGGACGGTTTAATCGTAGTATTTAAACCCTTATATGTGTTTTTGATTCACATATACTGCCGTAGTAAGGTGCACAATAAAGAAACTCACAGGTATTGTATTATAATAAGCAACTCTATAGTTTGGTTGAGAATGCCGTTAGAATATAGCCCTTGAAGCGATTCGTACAAATTTCCAGTTCATTTAGCTTCCAACTAGT